CTTTCACCTCAAGGATCTATGACTGAGTATACAAATGATTTGCATGACTTTGAAGCCTTTATATGGAATACAGGATATCTCTGAGGCTTTTCCAGTAGCAATGCCATCCTAAATATTCTTTATTCTGATGTTTAGGGCTCTGAACCAGAAAGAGTTACCATGCAGCTATTCTGCCAGGAGACTACATTGTAGCAACAGGGAATCATAGGCCCTCACAGGGAAGCATTTACTTTTGCAATGGGACTGGAACGGGTGATATCAGGACTTAAGAGAGAGATGATAGCAGGTGGCAGCATATGAGAAGGTAAGTTAAAAGAACTATGCACTTGCTTCACTAAATCAGTAGCACACTTTTCTTAAGTACCCAGTATCAGAGAATTGCAATGAGTAATTTCAGTTTAGAGGCTTCAGTCCTATACTGCATGCAGTTTGTCATTTGAACTATGTTCATAGATATTGATTGTGTAATCAGTAAATTCCTGTACAATACCAGTAACATGCTCAGAGATACAAAGTCTCTGTACATCATGAATGTGAACCCTGAATTCAGAATGTCAGCTTGATAGACACTTTATTCTAGTGTATGCTATACATTGTAATTAAATGGTCTAGAATTGATTGATAATGTTCTGAACTGCTTTCCATTGTGTCTTTGCAGCTGCCAGATGGTGTGGAGCAAAGTACTATTTATACCACATTATAGGCTTCTCTGTTTAATATACTATGGTGGTTAAAAATCATTACTGAATTTTGAACCCTTTATTTTATGAAATTTGACCCTTTTGATCTCTGCATCTCCCATTGAAATCTATGTGAGACTTTCCACAGAAGTCATGGGAAGGTAGGTTGGATCCAAGTTGCATTCAAAAATGTTTCACTGCATGACTTGCAGAAATGGCCAGAGGTTCTCTGAAATTTCTTTTGGCTTATTAATTTATAAGATGCACTTCCTTGTAAATCCATTTCTATGAAATATTACTGCTTTTGAAAAATAAAACTGATTTTGTTTTCAACTGGGGACACAAGTGTTCTGTTGAAAATGTGTTGCCATTCTTGTGCAAATGTATGTTAATACTGATAATCAAGTAGCATGAAAAGTAAGATAGAATATGGCCTCATTGATAGAAAATAAATGGAAAATGAAAATGTCATCTTTCATTGAGTATAGATTAAAAATGTGTAAGATGTATATGTACACCATGCAGATACTTTTATGTACACAGTCAGTATATGTTTTCTTTCTGGTCATCTTGCTTTTATATAGAAAAAATAATAGAGCAAATAGGATTTCTGTGGCTGTTCAGTTCTTTGATAGGACACCTATTTTTCAATTAGGCAGCCAAGATTTATAACCAGGGATCAATTTGGTGCAATATTGGCTGACAGCAATCCTGAACCACACCTTAGTGGAAATGACCTTAGGAAAGAATAAACCAGTGTTTCCCAAACTTGGGATGCCGCTTGTGTAGGTAAAGCCCCTGGCGGGCCGGGCCAGTTTGTTTACCTGCCGCGTCCGCAGGTCCGGCTGATCGCGGCTCCTATTGGCTGTGGTTTGCTACTCCAGGCCAATGGGAGCTGCTGGAAGTGGCGGCCAGTACGTCCCTTGGCCCGCGCCACTTCCTGCAGCTCCCATTGGCTTGGAGCAGCAAACCACAGCCAATAGGAGCCGCGATCAGCCGAACCTGTAGACGCGACAGGTAAACAAACCGGCCCGGCCCGCCAGGGGCTTTCCCTGCACAAGTGGCGGAACAAGTTTGGGAACCACTGTGCTATGCTATCACACAACAATTTAAACTTAAAAATACACACTGAATTTCCAAATGAAAACTACATATAGCCAACGTCATAGAGCGACATAACTGCATGTAAAGGGCACATAGACATCATAGGCGAAATCCTGAATATATTTAAGTCAATGGCAAAACTCCCACTGATTTCAACAGGGCCAAGATTTAACCCTGTATGCCTATATCCCCCTGAACTGAATCCTCATCTTAGCTTCCCCTCTACTTCCACATTTAACTCGGTTCTGCTCTCTTTCAAAATTTTCTGTTAATCTGCCCAACAGGTATGTCTCTGGCTCACCTCTCAGGGTCATTTCTAATAAATATTCATTCTAAGCTCCTATCTGCAAGGCCTGGGTTCAGTGTATAACTTTCTCCCACAACCCTACCTCCAACAGCTTTGCCATGCCATATAGAGGAAGGTTTTTAGTTCCATAAGTTGGGGGATACAAGGGAATGTAACCAGAACTGGTTTGGGTATGTTATCCTCAGTAAGGTTCAAATTATCTCCCCAAATACTCTTAGCCAACTCAAAGCAGCTTGTATCCATAATAAGGGATATTGGAGTATACATGGTAAGTACAGTGCCATCATTTCATCTTGCTCCTGGGGGTGTTGAGTCCATGGTTTCCTCTTGTGGTTCATTTGGGGGCATTTTCTGAACTGGCCCTGTTCTCTCTTCTTTCCCCCTCACACTCCATTTTTTCTGCACAGGCTTCTTTTCTGAACCTTTTTGCTGTTTTGTCCACTGCAGATATTCTGCCTTTTATGGGATTTGTATTGCGGGAAGAGATTTTTGCATAGTGTACATGAAGCTTCCTTCCACCACTGCTTTCAGAAAATCATCTGAGCACCCATCTACTGCATGAAGCAATCTGGCCATTCTGTGTTTGGTATTGTACTTAATGCACCTTTGGATTGTAAAGTCCTTGGAGTAGGCACCTGTTGTTTGTTTGGCACCATTTACCTAGCTATTGTGCAGTGGTATTTAGGTTAGTGTTGCTGTATCAATAACACTTGTAGACAGTCACAAAATAAGACATGCCATCCTTGACACAGGAACACACGCTATTCCTTCTGCGTTCATTATTTGTGGTCACAATCATATAGATTGACACTGATACACAATTGTTCTCTTCAGGCTGTTATCAGCCCATTCTTCGCTTAGTAGTTTTGATGATGCTGAGATTGGAAGAGAACAACCACCTAATGAATGGCTCTTTCCTTGCCTTGTGTTGGTTGGCAAGTGTTTGGCTGTCATCTTTCATTTTCCTCTTCATAAGTGGGGTTGAGGGGGAAAGAAGCTGAAGTAAATCCCATTAACAGTTAATTTATACTTATTTGACTAAATCACACTTAACAGATACCCAGTACTCTGACCATTGAGATTACTGATTTATGCAAACATATCCAGTTTTACTGTTACCTTCTCCCTTATTCCACTTCATCCCCATTTGTCTGTTCAATCTGCCTGCTGTACGTATTATGGTAGTGCCTAGAAGCCCCAGTCATGAACCAGACTCCCATTATGCTAGGCGCTGTAAAAACACAGATCAAAAAGATGGCCCCTGCACCTTAAGGATTTACAATCTAAGTAATACCTGTTGCATTTTGTCATAATCTAGACTGAGTTTTCTAGGGCTACAACTATCTTTATTTCACTCATTTGTATAGTGCCTAGCACAATAGGGCCCCAATCACTGATTGAGGCATCCAGGCACTGTTGCAATATAACAATACAAAGACAAATTTATTTAATTGCTCTTTGTAAAATAAGATACTTGAATACAAATCCCTAATCAGAATTGATTTTCAATTTTCTGAAAGATCACTTAGAGCTGAAACATTGATTTTGTGTGACCACAATCACAGGTGAAATACAAAAGCAGTTCTATGTAATTGCTGTCTGGTGGCTTCCTATACAAATGCAAGGCTGAGATTTTTAAAAAGTTGGGGGCGGGGATAGGTGCACAACTCTTATGGAGTTTCAGGTTGAGAGTTGGGCACCTAATTTCCTTAGGCTCCTCTGAAAATCCCAAACCTATACAATGTGTAGCATCTCCTGTTACTGCACACAAACTGTGTATATGGAATATACAGTGCATGCTTTATGGACACTTAAATCCACAACATTTCAGCTGGCTTCCTAAAAGAGGATGCTGTTGTGTCTGAGACTATTTCCTGGAGGTGTTTGGTTTTGTTTTTCTTATCCCACTGGACAGGGCCACTTAATACAGGTAACTTATTATAAATTGTTTGCAGATAGCTTGATTGGGGGGAGGTCACTCCAGGGCAGGTGGTTGCTAATTACAAAATAGGATCTTAAACAATTTTTGCTGGAATATATTTCCAGGAACTGTTGTCCACAAAATTAGTCCTGCCACAAGTGCAGGGGACTGGACTAGATGGCCTCTTGAGGTCCCTTCCAGTTCTATGATTCTATGAAAATAAAACCAATCAAAAACCCTGAAAATAAACAGAAATGTTTTTTTTAAAAAAAAGAGATGGAATTGGAAGGGATCTGAAATTAGCATTCCACATTATTTGAATGCCAGAACATGCTCCTATACTATACTATTAATAGAAGTCAGTACCCCTGCAGGTTTCAAATGAGCAGATTTTCCCAACTGCATTTTACAGCTTGAAGAATCATAATCATACTAGAGCTGAAGTCGTGTGTGTGTGTGTTGTTTTTGGTTTTTTTTTTTTAAACAATTGCATCTGTTAAACCTTCTTCAATTTGTCTTCCAGAACAAAAATATCTTGTATGGCCACTGGTATTTCTCTCCACAACCTGGATTTTCCCTTAGTTTCCTCACCATATACCAGATATACAAGCTCTGAAATCCTTTTGAAAATTGCAAAATTAGATATTTTTCCTTTATAAGCAATTTACTGTGCAGTGTTTTTTTTCCTTTTAGGACTCATGTTTAAAAGAAAACTCTTATTTATTTTAATGATATTTCCTTACAAATACATTTTTTTCCTGCATAACATATCGTTAAGCCATAGAACACTTCGGCCTGGGCTTTCCCCACACATTATACGACCTTTACAGCTGGCTCTGTGAAGTGAGCTATTATTCCTCATAGCAGGGTTTAAAAATAATTTCCCAGCTCCATGAAAACCGTTAGACAATTATTTAGTTAATCTGTAAGGTATATTTATCTGTTACAGCGATTGATAACAATAAAGACAAATTCTGATATTTGCATGTCAGAGAGAAAATATATGAGCAGCTGCTTTTGTTTTTGGGGAGACTACAAATACAACTACTTGGAGTAAGGAGGGATTTAAGAAAGACAGCGAGAGTGTGAGGGGCTACTCACCCTGAAAAATTCTGGCTATTGGAGGAGGATTTGAAAAAGAAAGACAAAGAACGATTCTTCTGTGTACTTGTACATGGTTTTTATTTTTCCTGGAGCACAGTGTTCATCTGAGGCCTACCAAGAACTTGCTTGTGGGAACACAGACCATTTGAATATGCCAAATGTTTGTTTCATATCTTTGAAGTGGGGGAGAGAGAGGCCAACGCTTTCCAAACATCATCTCAGAATTGTCTGTCTTTTCTCCCCCCCCCCCGTCATTTTTCTGATCATCTTCCTTCCATTTCTATTTCCTCCAATTTACTTTCTCTTGTCCTCTAATTCTTCTTCTTCCTCCATGTTTTTTCTCTCTCATTCCTGTTTTTCCCCCTCCCCCATTAGACTTTTCCCCCTTCTCTAGGTTGTATCTACAGCAGAGTTGCTAAATAAATATATTAACTAAATCTGAGCTTTCTAGAAGGCAAGTGAGAATTTTCTGAGGACATAGGGGTCAGGGGTTTTTAGTATGAATCTAGTCCTTTTGGGTAGATTTTCAGCCTACTCAGCCCTGCAAGGGGCCAAGTACTGCTGTGAAGTGCTGAGCGCCCCCTGTCTCTCTGGCAGTTGGGGGTGCTCAGCATTTTCTAGACCTGGACCCTGAAATGTCTGAAGAGTTAAACCCAATACATGCTTAGTCTCTGGACTTGCTTGGCAGGGTACAGGCTAGAGAGAAATGACTTTTGTCTATGAAATAATTTGAGCTGGCCAATTTAATCCCTTGAGAGCTGCAGGTCATAGGCGTTGTATACATTGGAGAACTTAATACCTATATTTCAGCAACTGCCATCAATAGCGCAGCTGCACAACTGCTAGTGTAAACAGGACTCAGGCATTTTTATCACCATGTCATGAAAACCTGTTCTGAGCAGGTAGTAAAAATGCCTGTGACCTGTCTACGCCAGCAGTTCAGCTGCATGATTGCCAGCA